CTCTTTGAAAATGTAAAGAATAAATAAATCGTGTCATGCTCACAAAAAATGAAACACAGGATTCTTCTTAAGAAACTTCAATATTACACTAAACTTTTTAAAATATCTTAAAAAGCATAATTAAGCTGAATTTTTATTAATTTCCTTTTGTATAACACCAGAATCTCTCATCTGGTGAAAAAGATTAAAGACATCTTTTAAGTATGAATGTGAGTTGCTCTTATCAGAGAGTAATAAACTTGACTCATGAAAACCATTTATAAAAGAATTCGCTTATCAGAGACTTCCAAAGCAAATGATCAAACGAAGAAGAATGTTGCTGTTAAGATGCCCAAACCTCCCAAATTTAGCTCCTACTATCAGCACTTGACAAATGAACAGCTGACTTCTCTCTCTAAGGGCAGTGCACTTATATGCTGGTGCTAATCACCTAAAAGCCGCAGCCCAAGGCTGACTGGTCCAGGGCAAGCAGGCAGCTCCGTTAAACTGAGTCAGCAAAATCTTAAAAGGATTAATTCTCAATTGCAATACTACCCAATTACATTAATTGACCACTGTTTCCATCCAAGAAGAGTTGCTGATGTTCATTCTCTGTCCTCGGGATTTTACTGGAAGAACTTCATGCTTTAAAATGTGATTGAAATAAGTGCTGAAAAGAGCTATATGTCAGGAGTGAATACTGCTCCTTAATTCTTTGAATTTTAATTTAAAGTACAGATTCTGACACTAGTAGATTTCTGTTTGTCTTTAATCCATTTTCAGTTCCCAGGGTACACTTATTAAAGTGTATCTATACCTAAATACTGGTATTTTTAATGACTCTTTCTAATGCCCCCCCCCCCACACAGAGATTTTGCATTTCTAATTTGCTTGGTACAAAGGCAACCCAATGTGCATAATTGAACTGCAAATGGAAGCATGCTCGCTACTTTAGTGAAATTAGAATTCAGTGGAGGTTATAAAAATATTAAACTTAATATCATATTACAGGAAGCATAAGTATTTTTGATGGGCCCATAATTTTACCACTTCACCTGCTGTATCCGCTGGCAAACATGGTTTGGAATATTAATGGAAAACTCCCTCATTATTAAACTGCAGTATTAAAAAAAAAAATTCACAACCACTAACAGCTTACCACAAAGACATTTTCAGAAATTATCTACCTTAAAAATATTTTCCCACCAGACAGTTCAGAAAATAGATTTAATTTTGTAAAGCTAGAACAAATGGGGAGACCCCCCACCGCTTCAAACAATTCATTAATTCAAAAAGTTCTATTTTCCTTGCATTTAAAATCTCAGAGGGGAAAAAATCCAATCTCCTCTTCTCCAATCTCCATTTAAGTGTAGCTATTTTGCTGAGGTCCAGATTTGAATAATTCAAAGCCATCTCTAGTAGATGGTGTGTATCAAGGAGCAAGGGCCAAAACCATGGCATTCTGGGCCAATTAACGCAAAAAGAAAGCTCTCTGCGCCCCTCACCCGCCACCCCGCCTCGTCCAGCAGGCACAGACTCCAGAACGGGCCTCGGGAAGGAAGGGCGGAGACAGGCATCCACAGAGGACAAAGAAAAGGACTCCCACCCCGGACCCGGTGACCAGACCACGAATCACTCCTTTGGGAAATCCACACATTTTCATCTACTGACACAAAAAATGTAGGTTATGCCGGTTTCCAAGCATTACCTTACCATCTAAGTTAATAAAACAGAATTGTTAGTTTTTAAGGACTCAATAAGTATTTGCCATCTTGTGAAGCAAATAACAGGACAGGTCAGAGTGTGGCCTCTGACGCACGAAGTCAGCTCCCTTGAATACCCGGCGTCCCTGAAAGCTGAGAAAAGTGTCACAGGGTGTGTCAGAAAGACACCTGACAGCTACGAAGTCCCACCCCCTCCCCCGAAACAACCCTGATTTGTGTGCCCTCAAAACCCCAGGCCCCCTGGCCAGTGACCTGGGTGGACCTCCTCCTCCTCTTCCCTTTCTTTCCTTCCCTTCCCGCCCCACTCTCTCCAAGAATGATTTATAACCTTCCCTAAGAGCACATCTCGAGAGTTTTCAGAAATGGGAGAGAAATCATGTACTAGGCTTGTCCTTTGCAGGCGTGCTGGGACAATCTAAGTGGTAGATCAGGCAGCACTGGTAGTAATATTGTAAGCTGATTTGATGACCACCTTTTTATAGATTGTATTTGAAAATTCACTAGAGGCTTTTCACCAGAAGACAAATGCACATCATAGAAAGAAAAACGATAAGTATCTCTCCTTAAAATTAGAAAAACTCCATTAATTAACCAAAAATGTATGGAATTTATTTATTCCTAAAATAGCAATTCAAATAGGTACAATCCATCCTCAACAAAAACTAGCCAGGTTTTGTCAAAGCTAGTGGGAAAATAATGCCATCTCCCTCTTGTACCACGCACTCAGTCAACACAGCACTGGGAGACACTGGGAGACAGATAGGACTCCTTCCGTTTTACAAATAAGAAAATTACAACCTAGAAACATTAATGGATCAGCCAAAGATTGGCCAACAGGTTAAAGGGCACCACTAAGCTTGCTGCTCTGGTTCCCAGATCTCAAATTCAGTGATGTCTGAGGCAGGTGGGCAGCGCCGAGCCTAGCCAGGTACACACCTGGGGAGAGGGAAGGCTGGCTTCTGGACTCTGCACTGCCTGTCTGCAGGTACCCTTCTGGTCCTGAGGACAGTTGCTCTCCCAAAGGAACCTAGAACTCTAGGAACTCACCAAGACGTCTCATACAGCTGCATTTTAAGAGGGCCTTGGAGAAGTCCAGTGCTTTTTACCTCAAGATACGAATGTCTAATAAATGACACAATGGCCCCTCGGCACATAGAACTGCGGCAAATGGGAACAAGCCTCCTTTGCCAACTGGAGATGCCGACCCAGAATGCAATGACCTCTGGCTTCACCCACGTGCACCTCAAGCACTGAGATAGATACACACCAAATAAAAACAAGGGAGCCCTTCTTCGATAACGAACATAATCCTGTTTCATCTAGGAGTAAGGCCTGTAGACACATGGACATTTTATGACTCAATCACTTTCCCTCCAAGTACATTCCGTGTTGAGAACCATAGTACTTGATAGTTTACATTCACCTGTAAGTGGGGCCGCCCCACGACACAGTGGAGGCGGCTTCCTGTCACAGAAGAGCCACTGAATCAGGAGCAAAGCCGGTTTCAAATACCAGCTCTGCCACTAATCACCCAGGTGACATTAGATAATCACACCCATTCTCTGCACCCTACCTTCTTATGTGCAAAAGAAAGTCCACGACCACAAAATCTTGGGTCTTCCTTAACCAGGTAATTATAAAGCAAAACAAATGCCCGCGGTCATTACTTTAAAAAACGCTCCTGTGATGTGGGGAGGATGAATCCTTCTGAAACACACACACACACACTTCTATTTAATCCTGGAAAGCACACCTACGCTGTACAACTGCCTGTTGAGGCTATTTTATTGAGAAACCATGTTGCTGCCCCTTATTTACTGTGAAAATTGGTAATTCTCATCTACTGACTCAAATCTGATATGGGCAAAGAAATGAAGGGGAAAAAAATAAGTCAATAAAAGGGAATAAAAGATTTCAGCTACCCTTGATTTCAACAGAATAACTGACACCGTATGGATCCAAGGGGTACAGCAGAAATGACAGCATCGCGGACCCCTTCCTTTCTCTGGCTGCTGAAGTCTCATCTGGGCTTCAGAGGCAGGCAGAAATGATCCACACCTTGGCTCTGTCGCTTGCTAGCTTCATGAGCCTACAGCCACTGGTCTCCTTCTCAGTATAAGGCAGGTAATGATGTGTTCCTCACCGGGCAGATAACAGAAATTATATGAGACAATGTGTGTGCTGGCCCAGCACAAAGGAGACCCTCAATAAAATCTGGCTCTCGCCCTCCTGACTTCCTGGATAACAACCCAATTCAAGAGTCCGGATCAGGTCTTACAGCCTCAGAGAGAAGCACACAGGGCGATGGCTGGTGTGGGAGCACCATAATGAGAAAGACCAATGGAGGTGGGGAATAAGAGTTTGCAGAAATGATCAGATAATGAAACACCTTATATCTTTCCAAAGAGGTGAATCATTTTCTTTTAGGTGTCAAATGAATAGCCAAATGCATCACGGTCAAAATCTGTCATGGAAAAAGCCAGTCAGGTACCCATTTCAAATGAGCAGCAGCATCTAATGATGCGCACAAAGTCTCCTGATACGCACAAGATAAACAAGCCCCCACAGCTCCTGCACAGACATGAAAGGCGCCCTGGATCCAGAAGTTCTAATGAGCTGCGAGTTTATTCCATTTCTAAAGGACACTTAAACTCAAACCCATCACTCACATCTCCTTAATTCTAAATCCAATTCTCAATCTGGGCACTTTACCAGCATCTTTTCAAAAGTTGGACTTTGGAAAATACATGCATTCTCAGACAGAAAAAGAAAAGCCCATCAGACGCACACAAAACTTACGCCCTTGAATATATTCCAGTCTCCTCAGCCCTCATCTCCCTGAGCTTTTCACAGTCAGTAAAGTGTGGTCACCAATCATTGGGAATGACATGAGCCTAATGTCAGAAACCATTTAGCCTAAATAAGAAAATAACTCCATTTAGCGTTCTCCCACAAAGTAAAATTAAGTTTGTTTAGCCCTTTTTTATTTATTGCCAAAGGGCAGATTTAATTTCAAGAGAGTGAAAACCAAACTCATTCTGAAGTAAAGTCTGAAGTTACCACTTTCATTTTGCTCCAACTATTGAGGCGCAGAAGGCTGTAAGCATTAAACCAAAGAGGCATTAATTATGGAAAGACCAACAGGTGAGTGAGACCCACTAAGCTTTTCAGTCAGAGGGTGGAAGGCTGAGGGAGAAGTCTATTGCCTTGATTTGCTACACCAAGAGCAAACTTTACCCCACTGGCTTTAGGGGGACTTTTGAGCCCACCCTATTGGCCTCCAGTCTCACGACTTACCAGATACATTAATCGAGGCCCCTGCATCGATGATCCCACTGTTGGGTCTCACACAGTACCTACGTGGTGCCGTGGTCTTCACTTTAAAACACACATTCCGGTCTGTCGGGTTGCCAAGCTTCAGGTTGGTGGTGACGACATCGGTGAAGGGACCTGTGGAATGAGACAGGGCCAGATTAGAGACCTCGTGAGGGAAACGGAGTAGGGTCGGAGGAAGAGGCAAGATCCAAAGCTAGCCCATTATCTCAGGTGGCAGAAAGGATGAGGTCAACGCACCAGCAATAGCATCTAAAATCCAGCATGTTCTCACCATGCCACCAGGCCACCTAGGTAAGTGTTCTAACCCCCAGTGTCTCTTCGAAATCACACAACTTTATGGCCATTGCAGCTTTACAGAGGAGAAAATGGAGGCCCGGGAATATGCAGTTCTGTCTAAGCGTTCATGCTAGTTAGTGGTTAAGTATTTAGGCTCTGAACTAGGCAGCCTGTATCCACGGCCAGTTCTTAACCAACCTGTGTTAAACACTGATTTCCACAATAAGAAGAAGAACTCTAACAGGGAGAATGTGAAGGACTAGACTGGAGTCCAAAATGATTATCAAGGGCAGAGTATGCCAAGGGTAGCAGATGTAGGAAAGGCTGTGAGGTGTTAATGGTCTACAAACACGGAAATCCCTAACAATACGGTGTTGCTACCAAGAAAGATAATGTCATCTTAGGCTACAGCAAGTTCAGAGTCCTGCGAGGCAGCCCACACCTGAGACATCACGTTCGGGTTTATAACTACTCAGGCTACTGGGAAGATGAAACAAAGCTCAGTGCCCTGAGGGTATTTTTTATTATTATTATTTATTCATTTTCTACTTTATTAGGTTTTTTAATTAAAAAAGTAAAACATGCTTCTTAAAACAAGCCAAACAATAAAAGATGTATAAAGAGGAAGTTAATAAGCTTTCCCTTGTCCCCTGAGGTAACTAATATGGTAGATCTTCCACATCATCTCTGCTGATGCAAACAGTACCTACGCACATGTGCAGAGACGGGAACTAACAAAGGGGATCACGCTATTTACGTTACCTGAAACGTGCTTTTTTCCCTTTCCATTTACCAGTTACCATTCTACCATGGACACCTGACTACTAGGTTTATTAAGGACTCTGGTGGGAGGGTTGATTATGAGACCTCTTTGATCCTTTTCAACCCTTTTTTAAATTGACACCTTTCCACCATGTAAATCAAGGATGTTTTTGTGTTTCCTCCAAGCAAGCTTTTTCCTCCTATCTCACATCTGCAAAGAAGTAGGAGATGGGATGGGAGGTCTGTGTGCTCCTGTGCTCGAAAACCAGGAAATATATAACATTGGTCCATTTGTTCCCTAAGGAGACTGAACAAAGACATTCAAATCTGTGGGCGCCTAAGTGGCTCAGTTGGATGAGCGTCCAACTTCGGCTCAGGTCATGATCTCATGGTTCATGGGTTCGAGCCCCGTGTCAGGCTCTGTGCTGACAGCTCAGAGCCTGGAGCCTGCTTCAGATTCTCCCTCTCTCTCTGACCCTCCCCTGCTCACGCTGTCTCTCTCTCTCAGAAATAAATAAAAAGCATTTAAAAAAATTTTTTAAGAAAATAAAAAAATAATTTAAAAAAGACATTCAAATCTGTACCTTTAAAACTTTTCAATGAGACTCTAAGCTCCTGAAGATAAGGATGATACCCTACCAGTTTTTTAAGTTCCAGAATACAGAACACATTCTGCATTTCCGGGCCCTGTGCCTGGCGTCTCGTAAACATCTCAGTGTGTGTATCTAGATAGACAAACAGAGGCAGGCAGGCATATCCACCGAGGAGGAAACTACCTGGTGGATAAGGACGAGCAAAATTAAAATCTCGGGCTGCCTTCTCTCCTTCAAAAGTGCTCCGGGTATAAAAAATCAATTTGATATGGGCTTAACTTAAATATAAATTAAGAAATCAATAATGATGGAAAGGAAGAAAGGGAAAGGGACTCAATTCCAAAATCAAATAAACTACAGTCAGTTCTGCTATAAAGCTTATTTTGAAAACGTGAATTTGTTCCAATGTGATTGATGTGCATATTAGGGAGACAATGTGAGCATAAAACAAATTTCACATTTGCTTATGCAGGATTCTGTCTGCAGGAAATGCCGTGTGAACACAGAAGACTGCAGCCAGCTCGGCCACGCCGCCTGGAGACACATAATCGCACCCCTACTCGCACCAGGGGCCCCATCAGCGGCCACGCCCACCCGAACCTGGTGTCACACCCGCCCTCCGTCCTCCACTGCACAGTGACTCGTAAACTGCAACTCTTCTAACAGCCACTTCCAGAGGCAAACTCCACGTCTTTTTCAAGGTGAAGTGCCATGTTTATTTAAGCATTAATGTATTTCCTAACCATTTAATGTGTGTAAAACCACACTACTGCTTTTATTAGGTTTCGATCTGTGTGTGTGTGTGCGCGCGCGTGCACGCACGCATGTGACCCACAAAGTTTTTGAAGGCTGTGCACTTAACGTCATTTCCCTCTCGTAGCCTGTGTAGTTTTGATTGTGTTACTCTATACAGTGTAACGCAGACATTTCTAGGAACGCAGACATTGCATTACAGCAGAATCAACTACACTCCTGGATCACCTACTGTTTGGAGTTACTTATACTAGAAGTTACTCTCATTCCATGGCCAATGACACACCTTCAAGAATGAAAGGCCTAAAGAGAACCCTCCCATCTGACTACCTTTCCAATGAGCCGTGTCTTTGGCCTCCAGGAGCCCAGCGTTCTGTAGCTGCAGCTGGAGCCAGATGTGGGCAAAAACATCTTTGCTACTGACGCCCATCAAAAACGACCCCTCTCACTACAGCCCGTCATCTCCTTATTGAGAACTAAAAGCTTCCCCAAGAGGGCAGGTACTCGCTGTGGCCTAGATTTTCAGCGACCGTGAGGGACAGCCATGTGCTGACAGCGCTCCATCCTTGCATCAAGTTTTTGGCAGTGAGGGAGAAACAGGAAACCGGATGCTGAGACAGTGTTTGGGGGATTATGAAGGCAGCCGCTCTGTGACCCCACCCCCCACAAAGCATACACTCTGACTCACGATGAAGATGGAGAATGTCTTCTCCCCCATAAATAGGTCTCTGTTTGCCTGCGAGTGGAGACATCGGCAATGGTAAAAGAAAAAAAGAAAAGCTAATAAACACAACTCCGCTTTTCTGGGGTCTAAGAAAGCAACTAAACACACAGACACACTTACATGCACAAAAGTATACACACACCCCTACACTGGCACAATCTCCACGCACGCACAGTCCCTGGCCGTTACACAGGCACTGCAAATTGCAGAAACTCCATGCACCAGCATGACAGGTTGGGGCAAGGAGGAGAAAATAGACAAGACGCAGGTCAATGCAAAGACACATTTGAAAAGGGGCACACTCCCAAATATAACACCTGGGGGCAGGGAACGACAATTGGAAGGTGATTCATAAACCTCTCAGGTCTTCACATTTTTCAGATAGAAGCTGAAAGTTACTAGTTTCAATAAAATTCTGTCTTGGGAGGTGGGGGGTAAAAAAAAATTCTCATGAACACGGGAGCATCTTCACATCAGAATGCCGAGAACTCATAATGGCCCGCAAGCACATCCGAAACACTACGCGTTTCCCTGAGGCGGTCTGAAGCACACTGAGCAGAAAACAGGGTTGCTGGTGAGATTTCGCTGTGATGAAACTAAGAACATTTACTCTTTCCACCTCAGTTGTAGTGCCTCTTCCTCCGTGCCCTACCTCATGACGTTGAGGGTGGGGGAGGGACCACCAAAATTTAATTATCTGTTTATCTCCGACACTGACCTTTGCTTCTAGGTGCTCCACAAAATAAACCAGATTTAACAATAAACACTCAATGGTTTTTGGAAATGCCCCCAGTTTATTAAATGTTTCAACCCGTATGAATCACATAAAAGGTAGTCTCGATTATTAAAAGACAAATCATATTTGTAGTAATAAGCAGGAAAAAATAAAAAACCCAGATTTCTCCTTTAACACTCAATCTTGGGCCGTTAAGTGTTTGGGATTTCTTGGGCTTCCAGAGGTTTTTATCTGTAAAAACCTAGAGGGAACTATACCAGTAATACATGCAAGTGAACAAGACCATTAAAGCAGCAAAGTCTCATGAGTAAGAACCCAGACATTTTGTGAAAATGGGCCCGCCCTCCTCTCTCCGCCCGGGGCCATGTACTCTAGGAATTTTATTGAAAATAAATTATATTCAATTTGAGTAATTATAGGAAATAAACCATGCTAGTGATCTCCTTTTCCCCTGTATTAATGAATTAGAATATACAAAAACCTCAATAAAAATGATGTAAGGGCTTATGAGCATCATTCAGAGTTTTACTAGTCACTTTCATTTCATAAAACTGCCATTTCCATTAAAGCATTATGTAAAAACTGGGATTTTACTGTCCCAACATGCACATTTATCACCAACGAATTTAAACATTGCTTATAAAGTACAGAGTCAAGTTTACAAATGAAATCTCCTTCCAAAGTTAGACTTTTTCTTGCAAGAAATGAAAAAATGATTTGGTACCTCTAGAACCACAGCGCATACTTTTAATCATTTTTCTTTCCCATTTTCTATTCCTTATTTCAAATAACATTTATATTAAACTAGGAACTAAGGATCTAAAGTGTGGAATGAAGGTCAAATACATGAAGCAATATGAATTGGGGAGAAAATAGGAATAGTCTTTAACATTTTTCTCTTAACAATGTGAATAATAATCTTTACGCCCTATATTATACATATTCATCTCTGACAAGTCTGGAGTCTCTAGGTGCTCACGAGAGAGTTCGGACTCCCTGACGTGCTCTTGATGTTATTTAGAGAAAGTGGCACAATATAAACGATCTCCTCCACCAAGGAAAGCATGACTTACGGTCACTCCCAAGTGCACATTCTCAGACAGGAGGGAGATCTGGAACTCACCTGCCTTAGAGAGCAAACACAACAAAGAATACAATGCGAGCAGAAGTATGCATGGCATCAAAAGTGAAAGGACAAAGAGTTCATTTCTCAGTCTTACAAAAATGGAGCCTTGGAATTATAAAGCGCTCATTTAAAGGTCAAGGAAAG